ATATGTCTATGTTTTTATTACCAAAGTCTGTACTTGCGGAGTTGATTAGTATTCAAAGGAGATTTTTATGCTGTGGGCCAGGTTTAAATAAAAAGATTTCATGGGTGAAATGGGACTATGTTTGTCGTGATAAGGCGAAGGGGGGTTTAGGGGTGCCAAATCTGCTTAGGAAAAATTGGGCATTGTTAGGAAAGTGATGGTATAGGTTAGGTGATGGGGTTGAGAACTTATGGAAAAGGGTGGTGAGGGAAAAATATTATGTAGGTATGAGCGAGGTTGATATTACAACGATTGAGTGTTTGAGGGTGTCAAAGCTGTGGAGGGATATTATTAGAATAGGGGGTCAATCTTTGAGACTAAGGAATATGTTGGTGGAGGGTTTCAAGTGGGAAGTGGGTGAGGGAAATAAGGTGGATTTTTGGCAAGAGTGGTGGGTTGGAGATAAAATTCTTAGGGACTTATGTCCAAGATTATATGCACTATCTGTTAAGAAGAAGGGAAAGGTTTTTGAAATGGGAAGTTGGGATGAGGGTAGATGGTGTCGGCGTGTTGAGTGGAGGAGAGGTACTATAGGGCGTGAGAAGGATGAGGAGGTGGTGCTAGAGAAGGCGCTAGATGGTGTTTAACTAAAGGAGGGGGTTGGGGATGTTTGGAAGTGGAGGCATGCGATGGATGGCAGATATGTTGTAAAGATAGCCTATGACTTTTTAGGTTCTATGGAATGTGTATTGGAGGACCACATATGTAAATTAATATGGTGCAGGTTGGTGCCATCCAAAGTAGCTTTTTTTGGGTGGCGATTGTGTTTAAATAAGCTTCCAACAAAGGAAAATCTTCAAAAGCGTGAGGTGCAGTTGTAGGAGGAAGGTATTTTCTGTGAGTTTTGTAATGGGATAGTGGAGGAGGCTAACCATTTATTTTGTATATTTTATAAAGCGTGGCTAGTTTGGGTAGAGGTGTTGAATTGGTGGGGTTTGGAGAGTGTTTTGCCCAATACAGTTGTGGGAGTGGCAGAATTTTTCATATATGAGTTAGGCAGAATAGTAGGAAAGGAGATGGGTTCTTGTATTTTTCTGGTGGTTGCTTGGTATGTATGGTATAGAAGGA